AAGAAAGCCTGGCAGGTTTCAATCAAATTTTGCTGAAACCTGTACTTGCTGCCGTGGGAAACCTTGATTGCCCATCAGGGATGGTCAGCGCTGCCCCCGGCTCTCCAGGGCAACCGGCTGTGGCTCCCTGGACAGCACACTCACTTGTTATGGAACTCGTAGATCTCCTGCATGTTCCCGAAGATGATGAGCTCCTTGTTCACGATGCCGGGCGGGATCTCCTCCACTCCACTCGTCATTTCCCACAGGTAGGTCTGGCGGGAGGGAACAGGGATTAGACAACAACTGACACCAAACTTTCCAGACTCCGGTATTTCTGACCTCTGTAGGACTGGACCCAAGTTCATGTATACTCAAAAGTATGTCTTAAGAATAGAATCTTTTAGGAAAGCATGAACAACTGGAAAAACAACAACAACACACACACACACACACAAACCCTCATTGCTATAGTACTTGAGAACACTTCCTGTACTTTTTGACTCTAAACTTATTCCGAGGTTTGAATTTTGGAATTAAGCTACTCCACAAGGTGCAACAAATATTCACAGAACTACTGAGTATTAGTTGCCAATGATCATCAGTAGGTGCATCTTTCTGCAGCTGCTGTGAATTCTATACAACGGGCACAGCGGCCCGGCCGCCATGTGACACACGGAGAGAGAGGGTTAACGCTGCATCAGCCCGTAATGAGCAGAAATCGAGCCAGAATGTCACAGAGGTGCAACGTGAAACTGGCTGCCTACGACACTTTAAATCTCAGAGCCCTTGACAGGAATCAAATCTGAGACCCTTCAGTCTGCAGGCGGAGGCTCTAAAAAGTGTGATTATTTTAAGAATTACTAATAGGTAAGAATATATGCAAGATTATACACAATCTAAATAAACAAGCAAAAAAAACTTACTTACATCCATACACTCCCGGAGGTCCCGGACATAAGCCTTTTCAGTTTGAATTAGCTCAGCCATTATGAACCTGAAACACAGGAAGATAGCAAACAGTTAGTGCACAGCCAGGGCACACTACCCACTTCTATGGCTTATGGAATAATAAAGTGGTTCAGAAATCATTAGTCAGTCATGTATTTTGGAGAATTCAATCGAGAATAGACAGAATGAGAGTATCTAGCCACCAAGTCGAAAGAAGAAACAATTTGGGACAAATTCTGTCGAGCTTCCCAGAGATCGGGGTTTCTCAGCTCAGCACTCGACACTCAGGGCGGATAATGCTTTGCTGGGTGCCATGCCTTGTAGATGTTCAGCAGCCTCCCTGTCTCCACCCACCAGATGCCACAACCAAAAACGCCTCCACACGCTGCCAATGTGTCCCCCAGAGCACAAACTGCCCGACTGAGAATCACGGACTCAGAGCAATCTTTTGTCTATTAGTACCCAGTACCGTTCACTAACGTTTAAACACCCCCCCTTGTTGGTCACTTCTTCTCCTTAGTATTCCCATCCTGGTCCACTAGGACAAATGACACTAACTCGATGTGCCAGCCCCTAGCGACGGGAGTGCAGGGACAGGTAACGAGCGACTGCTGCTGAGGCCGGTGAGGAGGGGACAGGGCACGCCGTTGAGTCTGAGCTGCAAAAACTAAGCATATTCCGACCAAGCAGATGTCACAACGCCATTTAACCTGAAAGCACCCACAGATGCCTGTTTGTCCCAGTGACATTCTCTTTTCTTTTTCAAGGGACCTGGCAGGTTCTGAACGTCCGGCTTACTCTTTCCTGCGGGCAGACTTCCGTTTCTCCTCGTTAAGCTCGTGCGCGGCGTCGCGCAGCTTCACCTCCGACCCCGGGATGCTGGCTGGGATGATGTCCAGCTGAAGGCTCTTGCTCTGTGGAATAAGACAGCGATGAGTTCGGCGGCCTGAAGCGCACGCAGGACACGCAGAGCACCCTGACGGGTTCCGTCTGCACAGAGCCATTTACCGATTTGTTGGAATCTGAAGAAATCCCCAGGGCTTTCTCCAAAGAGGTCCTGTACTTCTCCATCCGCAGAGAGAAGTCTCTGTACCGCTTATCCACGGCCGTGACACATTTCTTTATCTCTGCCGCATGGGCATGGCCCTTTTCACAAAAGCCGTCAGCCAGCTGGATCAACAGCTTCACCCTCTCTTTGGTTTGCTGCAAGAAACACACACAACAGGAAAGTATTGGGAGGCAAATGAACCCAACTGCAGAAACCAGCCACTGGGGCAACCTGCCTACAGCTCAGCTCTGAACAGGAAACAGAGTGCTGGTGATAGACGCTCAGACCAACGCCCCACGTCCATCCAATTCGTCTCCCTGGACCTAGACGAGCTACCTATCCTCAGCTCTTCGGCAATGAATGGCATTATGAAACCCCTGGATAAAAACAATCTAGACTTTCTGTCGACGTCTTCATCTGCCGGATGCTCAGCAGAAATCTGTAAATGCATAAGCACGCGTTCCCTCGGGGCGCCCTCTGGATTCTGACTGTCCTTGAATGCGTGTGTGTTGGGCACGAAGACCTTCCCTGCTTTACACATGTTTACTCTGCACCCGTCAGAGCAAAAGCTCCCCGAGGGCGCAGCCCCCCGAGACGGGCTTCCTGTGCATCTGGGGCCAGGAGCGCGCACGGCAGACGCTCGCAAGATCCCCGCAGAGGAGACACGTGCCTCACACGTTCATGTTGGTTCCCTTGCGGGAGACAGGGAGGAAAAGCCACGTCAGGGCCGGGGCTTCTCTACAGGGCGATTTCAGACTGATCCCTGTTTTAGAACTCCCTTTAAAAGGGTCATTTCCTTGTATATGGGCCTAGGAAAGATCTTTTATTAAGTTAAGCATTACGTTTCTGACTTCATGTAAAGTTAAGGATAACCATCCAACATTGGTTCTATGTAATAGCAGTAACTTCACTCAACCCCAACTTTCCAACCGATCTTTAGTCACATCCATTTCACTTATTCTCACGAGGGGCTTCCTGCAATGTTCCCACGGGCAATGCCAATGCGTACAGTGACTCTTCAGCTGTGAGAAGCTTTAACTAGAAAACCTTTATGACTAATGTTTAGGAAATTGATTTTTTAAATCCCCGAAAGCAAGGTCAGAGTTCAGAACCCAGACAGATTATCCTGGTCTGTCCAATAGAAGTTCTGAGCCAGAAGCCCCCAGGCAACTGCCCAGTCGGCACTGAAGATGCTCAGACTGCACATGAACCCGCACCTGGGGCCGCTGAGCACTCAGCACCCGGCCCAGGCGGGCTCTTGCCTTTGGTTCTCTGCACAGGTGCGCTGCTGCCTGGAGTGCTAGCCTCCTCCGTGGTCGGCAAACTGGGGCTCGCGAGCCACATGCGGCTCTTTGGCCCCTTGAGTGTGGCTCTTCCTAAGCCTTAGGAGTACCCTAACTAAGTTAATAACAATGTACCTATTTATATAGTTTAAGTTTAAAAAATTTGGCTCTCAAAAGCAATTTCAATTGTTGTACTGTTGATATTTGGCTCTGTGGACTAATCAGTTTGCCAACCACTGCTCTATACTGTTGTCTGTTAGGAGCTGTGAGGGATCCACATGCAAGGTAAGAAAGGAAATGCTCTCCTGAAAGCTTAGGTTGCTTTTTTCCTTTTGCTTTTGTGGGGAGCCATCCATTTTGCCATCCGTTTGTAAGATATGGACCCCGAAATGCCAATACATTTAAAGTCAGGTAACAGTATGGCAAACAAAGGACCGGGGGAGGAAGTAGCATCATTAAAACATCTAGCAATTACGAATCCTTCTCCTTTCAAGGCTAAAAACAGTTTGTCTCCACAAAGTCATCTGAACCTAGTCCAAATGTTACACAGAAACATCTTACAATGCGCACGTTTTCAGGAGACAGTGAACCATGTGTAAAAGAAGGTTTATTTTTAAAGCAAAGACAGTAGGATGTTGAACTTTCTGTCGCGGTCACCTATCCAGTAGTGTACAGGATGAGTTCATAAACTCTCTTGCCACCATTTCTTTTAAGAGATGGTAACGAGAAGTTTTAGGTTTCTTTTCTTAAATTTTCATCACCTCTGTTAGAGACAAAAATATGGTTTCCCCTTACAAGTGATGATTTAAAAAGGTAAAAGTCGAGCAAACCATTTGTACCCTCCCAGACTGCCACTGCT